TTCTCAGGCCGCGGCCTCTCGCCCCCGGGGCCGGCGCCCCGAGCCCGCGCGACAGGCGACCCCCCGGGGACCCGGGGCGCAAGGGAGCCGGTCTCAGCCAGCTTGTCTCTCAGGCACTTTCTCGGGCTGGGGCTCCCACGAATGGCCCACGAGGATGGCCCACGACTACCGGGAGCTGGGTTCCAGCACTCCCCACTGGGCACGCATTGAGCGCTTACTGTTTGCCTAGCCCTGTTCTGTGCACAATACGCCGCGTGTGTTCCACCAGCGCTCTGAGTTCCAGGGGCGACAGGTGCTCTCACGCGTTTCGAAACAGGGAAACGGAGGGTCAGGGACTCGAAGTCACCCAGCGGGCCAGGGGTGGGGCACCCCCTCCCCCCGCTTCTCTGCAGGAATAGGCCTGTTCATCTCGACCTGCGGTTTCCAGTCCCCAAACCAATTTCCACATCAACACTTTCATATAAATAATCTCATTTCTTTCTCAGAGAGACCTTCGTGCACTTACAGTTCCTGTTTTTACAGAGAGGGAAACTGAGGCACAGAGAGCCGAGACTGTGGCCCGCTGCGATTCAAACCCAGGTCAACAGAATAATAATTGTCATGGGCTGGGCTAGGTGGCTCAGCCTGTCATCCTAGCACTTTGGGAGGCCAAGGCGAATGGATCGCCTGAGCCCACGGGTTCAAGACTAGCCCGGGCAACTTGGTGAGACCTGGTGTCTACAATAAATAAAAAATTAGCGGGGTGTGGTAGCACACTCCTACAGTTCAGGCTGCTTGGAAGGCTGAGGTGGAAGGATTGCCAGAGCCCAGCAGGTCGATGTTGGGGTGGCCATGAGTGTACCACTGCACTCCAGCCTGGGGGACAGAGTGAGACTCCAACTCAAAAACATAAAAAAAAAAATAATCGTCATGATGGTCAATTGTATTGAGTGCTTATTACAGACTAGGCAGAGGGCGAAACCCTCCTTGCAGGATTCCTTGGCGGCCTCATGTTCATGTTCTTCAAATTGCAGGTGACATTAAACCCTGGACTGTGAATCAACTTAGAGAACTTGCAGGTTAATTTAGTGGGCTATAACCACAAAACAGTGAAGGAGATTAGAACAGAACATGTCAAAGTGATCCCACATAGTAAGGATATGTTTCATTTCATGCAATTTTTTTTTTTTTTTGAGTTGGGGCCTCACTCTGTTGCTCAGGCTGGAGTGCAGTGGCACACTCATGGCTCACTGCAGCCTTGACCTCCTGGGCTCAGGCAATCCTTCTGCCTCAGCCTCCTGAATAGCTGGGACTACAGGCGCACGCCATCACGCCAGTTAATTAAAAAAAAATTTTTTTTTTTTTGTAGGAATGGGATTTCACTGTATTGCCCAGACTGTTCTCAAACTCCTGGGCCTGAATGATCCTCCCACCTTGGCCTCCCAAAGTGCTGGGATTATAGGGATGAGCCACTGTGCCCAGGCCATTTTGTACGATTTTTATTTCAAGTCTGTATGTGTGTACTGGGTTTGAGATAGAGCAATGATTTTGATGCCTGGTTCGGTGGCTCACGCCTATAATCTTGGCATTTTGGGAGGCTGAGGCGAGAGGATTGCCTGAGTCCAGGGGTTTGAGAACAGCTTGGGCAACTTGGCAAGACCTCATTCCTACAATAAGTCAAAAATTTAGCAGGTAAGTGCTCTCAGGGTGCCCATTTTTTAGAGGAGGAAACAGGCTCAGAAAGGTGAAGGGCCTTGTTCAGGCCACACAGCCAGCGGTGGAGACAGGATCCTGATTCAGGCCCACCCAAGCTGCGTGCCCCTATATTGTGGAGGGCTGACCCACACGGCTCCCACCCCCATTAATAGAGGACTGTCACTCACGTGTCTCCGTCCTCATCTGCATGGGTGGCCATGGCGATGTCGGCCGACAGGGGGTGTTCCATCGGGCATATCATGGGGCACAGGGGTGTGGGCAGGTTCAGCAGAGGAAAGGGGGAGCCCATGGTCGGAGTGGGGTACAGAGGCAGTAGAGCTCCTGGACAAGGAGGGGGGCAGAGAAAGGACATGGGTGAAGCCACACACACCCTCGACCCGCTCCCCAGCCACAGGCCTTGCTCAACTGGCTTCCACATCCCTCTTCAAGGCTCCTGAGACTCCTGCCCTGTGCAGCCCTGGGGATCCTCATGTCACTTATCTACTCATATACCTGACCCCCATCTCCAGCGAAGACATAGGGTCCCTTAAGGCAGAGGAAGCCCCCATTATCGCCTAGCAGGGGGACCCCAGGCCTGTTGGAGGAGTGATTTTGTGGCTGAGGGAAGGTAATGGATCAATAAAGAACTGGAGGTGGGCCGGGCATGGTGGCTCACGCCTATAATCCCAGCACTTTGGGAGGCCGAGGCAAGAGGATTGTCTGAAACCAGGGGTACAAAACCAACCTGGGCAACTTGGCAAGACTTCATCTCTACAATAAATCCAAAAATTAGCTTGGCATGGTGGTCACTAGTTCCAGCTACTTGGAAGGCCGAAGTGGAAGGATCACCTGAGCCCAGCAGGTCGAGGCTGCGGTGGCCTTGAGCATGCCACTACACTCCAGTCTGGGCAACAGAGACTCCAACTCAAAAAAAAA